GATTCAGATGCTTGGCAACTGACTCATATTTATGACGGTTGCAGTGTTCTGGGGTCATGTGATCACATTTTGCAACCTTCTGACAATCAAAGTAAATGGGGAAGCCAGATTCACTTAACAACTGTGTTACTAACTTAATGACAGTGATTCACTTAACAACTATAAATTGTAAAAAGGGGAAAAAACTTCTTGCTTAGCAAAATACATTTTGGGCTTAATTGTTATAAGTCAAGGACTATCTACAGTGACCCTGAGCTTGCTGGCCTTTCAGAAGGCTCTCAAAACATACTTTGTCATATTGACTGGAACTCAAGTGGAACCTGTTTGCTGGTTGTATTGTCAATTATTGTATGGATTGTACTCTATTACAAATTAAGTTTTAATTAGTTTTTAGTGGTTTTTATCTGGGTTGTTTATTTTTAAATATATTCTGTTTTTAAGTGTAAGAGTCACATCTTTGAGATGGCCAGCTATATAAATTGAATGAATGAATGCATAAATAATGTAAGTTTTGCATTGCTTCTTTATATATTGGATTTTCCATTTCTATCACGTTTTTGAATTCCTGTTTTCAAAAGAATTATCACTTACATTGAAAGGGACAATTTAACTTTTATTTTGGGGTGTTTTTTTTTTAAAAGCTTGCATCTGAGTGTCACAGCCAGGTATTTATTACTATAGAAGCACCTCATAGCTGCTTGGCATCTCTGGTAGAGATCCTTAATTTTGCTTAGTCCTGATTTTCCCAATCTCTCTTGTAATAGAATAACATAAGATTCTAAATTGAATAACATAAGATTTAAAACTAGTTATAAATGAAATAAACCATCAATTTTAACAGATCTGTAGTAAGCAGATTTCTCATATAGTGGATAAAATTTCCATTTGGGCATTATCTCAAAATAAAAACATTTGTTGTATATGAAATAATCCAGATGGTTTGTATAAACTTCTGTTGGTCATTTGTATTAGTTTTAATATTTGTATAATTGATCCAAATACCTACATTTTGGACTGAATTAATATTTACTTACATCCATTACTGACATCTCCCTGAATGTTCCTTTAGCTGAGGTTTACTGTATAAAATAAATAAATAATTGTGCATTTGCTTTTCTTTCTTTTTTTAGTACCCATAATTATTTTGAAGTAGGTTTGTGGATCAACATATTCTGCAAACCTGGGCAGTTTAAGAAACCAATTAAACAAAATTTTAACTCATTTTTTTAAACACAATGTACCACTTTAGCTATAGCAGGTGTCTCTATTCATAGAATGTCCTTGAAGCTTAAACAGATGATGTGATAGTAAAAGGGCAAGAAAAGTCTTGTATTGTAAAGGTAGCTTTTAGGTTAGCAAGCTAACCAAAATCCTAATGTGCTCTTTTTTTCATGATTCCTGACATTCTTTTCTTAAACCTTCTATAGAAAGCAGATTTTAGAAAACAGCACCTTTCGTTCTGGAGCCAAACTCTTAGTGTCTTTTAGAACAATCTTTATTTGCGTTTAATTGCATGCTTGCATGTTAGCCCATATAAATTTCAATTTGAGGTCATGAATTTTTTGACCAATACAGTATTCAGCCTCATCTACAACCCATAAAGCCAGTAGAATTCAGTGCTTAGGTTAAATTATTTGCCGTGATGATTAGAGTTTTCAATAGCAATATCACTTAGACTTATATACCACTTCATAGTGCTTTTTACAGCCCTCTCTAAGAGATTTGCAGCGTCAGCATATTGCCCCTAACAATCTGGGTCTTCAGTTTACCCACCTTGGAAGGATGGAAGGCTGAGTCAACTTTGAGCCGGTGACATTTGAACTGCCAAACTACAGCTAGCAGTTAGCTGAAGTAGCCTGCAGTACTGCACTCTAACCACTGTGCTACCTTTTTTATGATTCCTGGAAAAATGTTAAAAGCTGTATCACATATACTGTTGGAAGAAATATCCATCTGGTTCAGTTCCAAGTCAGGAGAAAGACACTGAAAACATGGAGGCTGATTGGAAATATGGTTTAATGATGAAAGAGAACCACATGGGTTTTGGTGCAGCTGACCACATGGAGTTGAGAGTGGGGGTATTTATACCTTTTCTTGGGCTTTGAACTTGAGCTTCCTGTTCAAGAAACTGTATTCAATTGGTTATTGCCAGATTCCCATGGTTCCATGTACAAATTCTAGGAGTTAAATAGTCTAGTTAAATTTGGTTGAAGTTTGGGCTGATGCAATGAAGGGGCTTGTTGGGCAATTCCTATTGTGGCTGAGGGCTAGCCCTACCTTTATTCAGATCTTCCTGCAG